CACCAATTACTCTAACTGCTTTCAATAAGTTGTACAACTGTAAAGAGCTGAATTTGCAAAAGTTGTGTGCTACATAAATAAAAAAAAAAAAAAAAAAAAAAAAAAAGAAACAGCAGCTGCTGAGCCTGCTTATGTATAACCAAACACCTCACAGGATTATGGTTCTTTGGTTTGGAGGCATGGGGTCATGATTTCATGAGACATCTCAATTAATTGGCCTAATAATCGTGTTGAGTGCTTCTGTTCTACCTCCTAGTTTGCTGCATAGTGCCTGGGGTCTTAAAAGCTTGCAAGCAGCCATCCAAGGCACAATTGGTCTCCGTTCGCCTGCAGCAACCAAGGAAGAAGGAGAGTCAGGAATAGGAGAAGGAAATCAAATGTGTGGCCAATGGCCTCCATGAACAACTGACCCCTTTGCCATGAGACCAGAAGAACTGGATGGTACCTGGCTACTATTTCTGAACATTTTGATCAAAGATTCTATAGAAGAATCTGATCAACAGGGGGAAAATGCAGAACAGAATTTAAAATTCCCATGGAATCCAGCCTTTCTGGAGCCATGGAGGCTAGATGAACTCCTGAAACTACTGCCCTGAGATAATCTTTAAACCTTAAACCAAAAATATCCCCTGAAGTCTTCTAAAAACCAAACAACCGTTTAGCTCAACTAGTAAAGAATATCTGCCTTGAATACTGTACTCTTTAAGATCTATCTATATGGGATCAAACTGAATAGCAACTTGAAAGATTAGATAGGAAATTTAGGGGGCAGTGAGTTTATGTTAATGGGGGAGGAACAACTCAGAAAAGGAAAGTGAGAATGGTTGCAAAACTCAAAAAATGTAATCAATGTCACTGAATTGTACATGTAGAAATTGTTGAATTGGTGTATGTTCTGTTGTGTATATTCCCAACAACAAAAATAAAGTATAAAGGAAAAAAATCTCAGATTACATGCAAAATCAAAAATATAAAAGGCTAAAAAAGAAAAGTGAATTGAAAAGCATGTAACAGGGGAGCTCCAACCTAGTCTTAGGCATCAGATAAAGTCATGATTAAACCCAGATCTGAAAGAAAAGTGAGGGGGCATAAACTATCTCAACTGCAGGACTCCTGGTACATGAAAGGCCCAAGTGTGGCAGCTCAGAACCAAGGGAACAGGGTGAGGGAGGGAGGCAAGAGGGACCAACCCCCACATGGCCTTAGCGAGAAGGATTTTGATTTTCAGAGGCATCATGTCACTGTGGCTACTGAATAAAATGGATCTGAGGGTGGAAGGAAGAATGGAGAGTAGGTATAGGCAGAGGGTTAGGAGATTTAGGATGCAGAAACCCTGGTGGTGTAGCAGTTAAGAGCTCGCCTGCTCACCAAAAGGTTGGCAGTTTGAATCCACCAGATGATCCTTGGAAGCTCTATGGGGCAGTTGTACTCTGTCCTATAGGGTCACTATGAGTCAGAATTGACCTAACAGTAAAGGATTTGGTTTGGTTTGGTTAGTCCAGAGTAGTTCTCATGGCTAGCTTAAACCTGGTGGGAACAGGAGGAGAAGGTGAGAAAGCCAAGAGACATTCACTTTGGGAGGTAAGTTGGGGGGACTCAGTAAAAAGGGTAGATATGGGTATGAGGGAGAGGAAGAGTTTAATGATTTTATGCCATTTATTTCTGGCTTTGGCAACTGCATGGATAATGGTGACAGGTACTAAAGCAAGAAGCAACAGGAAGAGTCCAGTCTGAGATTTGGGTAGGAGGCAGGAAGAGCAAGAATTCACTTACTAGAGGGTAAGGGGCCTCTGTAAGCCCAGAGGAGACGTCAATCAGGCAGCTGAATAGATGGATCCTGAGCTCAGAGGACGCGTATTGCCTGCAGTTATAAATACAGAAGTCATCTGGGTAGGAAGCAACTGAGGTCGTGAGTCTGACATTTCTTAGGAGAGAACGTACAGTGAGAAGCTAGGAGGGAGCCTCGGCCTGGAAGGGTCCATACAACTCTCGTCTTCGTTGCATTTTGGTCATTTGTGTGCGTGCTGTATCTTCCCAGCCAGTCTGTAACCCACCTGATGGAAGAGGCCTATTTTATTCCCCTTCGTTTTCCCGAAGCCATACACCCTTGACACGTTTTCGGTCCGGGTCACAGCCTTCCAGGCGGTGGGTGCCCCGCCACCCGCTCCCTCCCAGGCACCATTCCCCGCCGCAGGACTGACCGGGACGCAGGGTGCTGCCGCCTCACTTACTCCGGGACTGCGAGACCCCAGGGCCGAGCGGGTCTCGGAGCTTCCCCGGAGTCGGTAAAACGACAGACTCGGGGGAGGGACGGGGCCCCAGAAGCTGCCGCAGCGGGTCAGGGAAGCTGAATGGGCGTGACCTCCACACAAACGTGTGTCATTCGGCGGCCCGGGGACCGACCCCCCAGTGGAAGTCGCCCCAGCTGCACCCTCTGCCCCCGGGTGCCGACCCCCGCCCCGCCAGCCCGCGCCGGGGTCCGGGAACGCAGGGCTCACCTTGCGTGAGAGAACAGGCGACCCGCTCAGCGCCTGCGGCTGCGCAGCTCCGCACTTCCGCCCCGGGAGGACCAGCTCGGGACAGGAAGTCCCGCCTCCCGAGGCACCGCCCACGGGGGCGTGGCCCATCTGGGAGCCCGCCCCTACCTGCGCCCCCCCACACACTCGCACAGGCGGGCACACACGCACGGGTGGGCACACACGCACACAGAGGCGCACACGAGCGCGCGCGCGGACACGCGCACACACGCACACTCCAGAAGCTCTTGGCGCGCCTGCAGGGTACTGGCTCCGACGTGCTGGATCTGTCCTCTTTTTCACCACTGGCTCATTTTCCTTTCTCCTGCTTGCCATTTCTTCTGTAGATTTGTTTAAACATTCTTTTCCTCTGTATTTTTCCCAGCTCTCTTCCTTCTAGGTCGAGTGTTCACATTCTGTTGTCGCCGTGTTGCAGACTGGTCCCACGCAATCCAGAAGATTCTTGTCCAGTGCTGAGAAAGTGGTTTAGGTGACTGCAGAGGCCTCACTGCATTGTTGGTGGATTCCCAGGTGCGGTTTTTAAAACCACAGTCACACCTGCAGCCATTGTTCCCAATTCCAAAGAACATCTGCTATGTCCAGGTGGTTTGGGGTATAGAGGGGCAGGTTGCTGCCTCAGGACAATGTAGCAGGTGTGGTCCAGGTCACCATTCCAGACTCCCATAACGGCGAGTTCCTTCTAGAGGGCTTCGGATATTGTCACCTGCCGACTGACATCCATCCATGAGAAAGATTCTAATTATGTTAAACCTCAAAATGGAAGAGGTGACATCCCATGCCTTTCCTCCTGGGAGACCTGACTGTACAGGACAGATGGCCTTTGTCAAGCCACAAAATGGTTTGGTTTCACTCTTCCCCATGGGTGCTAGGGGCCTAAATTGCCTTGTGTATATATAATAAAGAGAGGTCACCACGTGATTATTCCCCAGCAATCTTGGGCATCTTGCTAACTGCTTAGTCTCTGGAGCTGGCTACTTTTAAGTGGCAACTCTCTGACTAAAAAAATTTACACATACCAAGAATTTTTACTTAATTGTTCAGTGAACTTTGATTAAAAAAAGAAATCGAATTTACATGTACAATGTCCAGATGCTCCTGGTAGATATCCAGGATATCTAGTAAGATTTCATCTTTTGATATAACATAGGTTGGAGCTGCAGATATTGGTTAAGATTTCTGATACGCTCCTGTAATGCCAACAGCTTTCACAGTGAGGAACCAAGCTTAATTGCCCTGGAATCCAGATTTCTGGGATTCATGGACGTTGGGTAACCTAGCCACGCTATCACCCTGAGATGATATTTGGACCTTGAGCCTTGAGAGAGCTGTTTTCCTAAAGTCGCCTTTGAGTCAAGCAATGGTCTAGATAAATTAGTAAAGACCGTTTTCTCTTAGGCATTATGCTCTTTTGAAGAATTATCTATGTGCATTCAGAAACAGAAACTCCAAAGTCAGACTAGAGGCTGTGTTTTAGGGTAAATTGTTATTATATAAACACTGTTTTGGCCCCGTTTCCATGGTAATGTCAATAAGATAGGATATAAAAATCTTGGGAAGTTCTTTCCTCTTTGGAACATTTTTGATTCCCAAGTCAAAATGTTACTCCGACTTATAAATTGTATATTAAATAAATTTAATCAATTTCTATTTTTGGCTTAATATGATTTTGGACACCAGATATAAGAATATGTATCATAGAATTGTTATTCTTGGAATAGAGTATCATAGAATCATCCTTCTTAAGAGTTAGAAACTCATACTTCATCCCACTCATAGTGACCCATAGGACAGAGTAGAACTGCCCTATAGGGGGTCCAAGGCTGTAATCTTTATGGAAGCAGATAGTCATGTCTTTCTCTGGCGGAACTGCTGATGGGTTTAAACCACCAACCTTTTGGTTAGCAGCCGAGCACTTCACCACTGTGCCACCTTTATAGGGTCGTTACGAGTCGGAATCGACTCAAGGGCAATAGGTTTGTTTTTTGGTTTTTAAGGATTGGAAAGAAACTTTGAAAAAAACTGGCCTAACCTCTCTACCTTTGGATTTTTCTATAACCGATCATGGCTGTGTAGACTAGTTGGTATGAACTCAACCTATTAGACAAGATTGCTTTATGCCACTCATTCTTAAAAAAAATTACTTCAGTAAGTTCATTCCCATCCAAATTTTCAGACAGATTTTACTATGTAAAATCTCAGCTTTCCATGATGCGTCTATTAAGAGAAATAAATATCCCAAGTTCAATCCATGTACTTCCAACTGCTTTGTAAGATAGAGCATTCACATATTCATAAAATCTTCCGGTCAATTCCAACTCATTGTGACCCCATGTGTGTCAGAGTAGACCTGTGCTCCACAGAGTTATCAATGGCTCATTTTTCAGAAGACCACCAGGCCTTTCTTCCAAGGTGCCTCTGGGTGGACTCCAACCTCCAACCTTTTGGTTAGCAGCCAAGGGCATTAATGGGTTGTACTACCCAGGTATTCTGTCAAATATTCATGGAAAAATAATAATAATAGTTTACCATGTATGTGTTAAGGATTGTTCTAAGCACTTCACTCATTAACTCAATCCTCACAATAATACTATGAGGTAGGTACTATCATTATCCCCATTTTTCAGTAGGATTTAGGCATAGAGAAATTAAGTAACTTGACCAAGGTCACCCAACTAGTAAGTGACAGAGCTGGAATTGCGGATCCAGGCATAGTCTGGTTCAAGTATATGATCGTGATCCTTATATGTCTTTTTGATAAAATTCAATAAATGTTTAATGAGCACCTACTCTGTTCAATGCGTTGTGCTAAATACTGGAGGCAATACAAAAAACAGTACGTGGTCCCTGCCCTCAGGAAGCTCACATTTTGGTTTCTGCTATAGCTAGAAAGCAACAGGGGTATGTGGTGATTCTCACAAACCAGAACCTTCTTCACTTTACCCCATCACCCTGCCCTTGGGGCTAGGTGCTAGGGTTTTATGCCAGAATCACAGATTGTAATTAAGAGTTTGACCAAAGGCTTAAAATCTCAGTCAAATCCTCTCATTTTGCACGTTTGAAAGCTGAAGTGTAGAAAAGTGTCTTGTTTGAGGTCACAAGGTTAATGAAAGGAGTACAACCAGAAAGGCAGGTTGCCAGTCTCCTAGTCAGTGTTCATGAAAATGGATGTAAATTAAGTGTCTGCATATTCAATTCTATTTTAACCCCTAAGCTGAGATTTGTTTAAAGGAGTCAGTAGTAAATTATTTCACATAAGCAATACTCATTTTATAAAGTGAGTAATAATCACCCACCACCACCCCAATCCAGGTCTTATAGATCTTGGTGTTCTATACTGGATTTGGTGAAACTAGAAAAAAAGAACCTTGGTTGTCTTATCAACTGGCAAAGAAAACAAAAATTCTCTTAACACTATGGGTAAGACGGTTGTTATGGACTGAATTATGTCCCCCAAAAATGTGTGTATCAATTTGGCTGGCCATAATTCCCAGTATTGTGTGGTTGTCCTCCATTTTGTGATTGTAATTTTATGTTAAAGAGGATTAGGGTGGGATTGTAACACCGTTACTAAGGTCACATCCCTGATGCAATGTAAAGGGAGTTTCCTTGGAGTATGGCCTGCACCACCTTTTATCTCTCAAGAGATAAAAGGAAAGGGAAGCAAGCAGAGAGGAGGACATCATATCACCAAAAAAGCGGTGCCAGGGGCAGAGCGTGTCCTTTGGACCCGGGGTTCCTGCGCAGAGACGCTCTTAGTCTGGGGGAAGATTGATGACAACGAGGACTTCCCTCCAGAGCCGACAGAGAAAGTCTTCCCCTGGAGCTGACACCCTGAATTTGGACTTGTAGCCTACTAGACTGTGAGAAAATAAACTTCTCTTTCTTAAAGCCATCCACTCATGGTATTTCTGATAGAGCAGCACTAGATGACTAAGTGGTAAATAAAACCCACAGGAAAATGTTAAAAGGCTTAGGCGCCATACCTAGTTAGCAGATTAATATTTCAATAACAGATGTATCAAAGTCAAAAGTTTAAACTCTGATAGAATAGTAATAGCAGCTATACTTACTGAGAACTTAATACGTGCCAGGCACTTCTCTAGGCACCTTGTATGTCTGACATCATTTATTCTAGAAGACAAGCGGATGGAGTTGACACTATTATCTTTATTTTTCACATGAGAAAACTTGACCTCAGGGAGATTAAGTAATCTGCCTGAAGCCAAGGGGCTAGGAAATGGCGGAAGCAGGATTATTTACAGTGCTATTTCCTATTCTTGTGCCATTTCCCATTCTTGACGCCTACACTCTCTTTCGAAACGTATGGCAAACTGGAGCTAGATGCTAAACATTTCCATTGAAATTGGTATTAAAAAAAGTACACTATTCATCTGGGTCCTAGTCTGTGTTTCAACTCTTTATTTGAATAATCATTTAGAAGATACTGTGCTAGATATTAGAGAAATGCAAATCAAAACTACAATGAGATACCGTCTCACCCTGACATTACTGGCACGAATCAAAAAACAGAAAATAACAAATGTTGGAGAGGCTGTGAGGAGATTGGAACTCTTAAGCACTGCTGGTGGGAATGTAAAATGGTACAACCATTTTGGAAGATGATTTGGCACCTCCTTAAAAAGCTAGAAATAGAAATACCATATGATCCAGCAATTCCACTCCTAGGAATATATCCTACAGAAATAAGAGTCATCACATGAATAGACATACGCACACCCATGTTCACTGCAGCATTATTCACAATAGCAAAAAGATGGAAACAATCTAAGTGCCCACCAACAGACAAATGGGTAACAAACTATGGTACATACACACGATGGAATACTATGCAATAATAAAGAACAATGATGAATCTGTGAAACATCTCACAACATGAATGAATCTAGAGGACATTATGCTGAGTGAAATAAGTCAATTACAAAAGGACAAATACTATATGAGACCACTATTATAAAAACTCATGGAACGGTTTACACATAGGAAGAAAAAATCTTTGATGGTTACTAGGGAGGGGAGAGGTGGGGAGGGAAAAACAGTAACTAGACAACAGATAAGTGGTAACTTTGGGGAAGGGTAAGACAGTACACAATACTGGGGAAGCCAGCACAACTTGACCAAGGCAAGGTCACGGAAGCTTCATAGACACATCCAAACTCCCTGAGGGACCGAATTACTGGGCTGAGGGCTAGAGATCATGGTCTTGGGGAACATCTAGCTCAATCGGCATAACATAGTTTATAAAGAAAATGTTCTACATTCTACTTTGGTGAGTAGCATCTGGGGTCTTAAAAGCTTGTGGGCGGCCATCCAAAATACTCCACTGGTCTCACCCTGTCTGAAGCAAGAGAGAATGAAGAAAACCAAAGACACAAGGGAAAGATTAGTCCAAAGGACTAATGGACCACAACTACCACAGCCTCCACCAGACAGAGTCCAGCACAACTAGATGGTGCCCAGCTACCACCACCGACGGATCACAATAGATGGTCCCAGACAGAGCTGGAGAAAAATGTAGAAGAAAATTCTAACTCACAAAAAGAGATGAAACTTACTGATCTGACAGAGACTGGAGAAACCTCAAGCGTATGGCCCCCGGACTCCCTTTTAACTCAGTAATGAAGTCACTCCTGAGGTTCACCCTTCAGCCAAAGATTAGACAGCCCCCTAAAAGAAAATGAGACAAATGGGCACATCAGCCCAGGGGCAAGGATGAGAAAGCAGGAGGTGACAGGAAAGCTGGTAATGAGGAACCCAGGATCAAGAAGGGGGGAGTGTTGACATGCAACCAACGTCACAAAATAATATGTGTATTAATCGTTTCACGAGAAACTGATTTGCTCTGTAAACCCTCATCTAAAGTACAATTAAAAAAAGATACTATGCTAGAAATTATGTGGAATATCAAAATGAATAAATAATTCTCAAACTCAAGGATTTATAGCGAAAAAAAGGAAGGATAAAATGGAACACAAATAGCTGTAAAATGAGCCAGGTTATGATAAATACTATGAGTACTGTTGTAGTGAAAAACTTTGCAGGCTTTAAATGAGAATTCAAAGGATTTATTCTGTTTCAAAAGATCTATTCCAATACAGGAAACTGCCAGCTCACATAAGTTAGAACATGGCAATCTCAGAGAGAGTCACAGGGAGGAATGGTTATAGGGCTGAAAAAGGAAATCACAAAAAAACCATTGATTGCTTAAACATTCACTGAGGTCAGAAGAGAGAGAGCCAAGCAAAGCGGGAAGAAGCTCCCATTGGATACATACGCTTAAGTATGTGTCGGTAGGCCACACAGATTGATCACAATGGTCAACTACAAAGTACATTTAGTCATAAATATTTACAATCCTAGTCATGAGATGCTTACAATGTACACCTTGTAAAACTGTCTAGTTTTGATGTAAAACATATCTTGGAAGTGCCTTTTGCCAGAGGCTGGTGATAAAAAATTTTCCCCTAGGCCCCTGCTTGCTCAAGGTAAACCCTTCAAGTTGCCTGGGGAACTTAGATAGTAGGTTGGTGCCCAAGATCTTTTATGAAATAGTTTCTACATCCCTATCATGAAAAGAATATTTCTTAAGGCCGTTTTACACAAACGCAACTGTGCCACAACCTTCCTTCCTGGATGTACTCCTTCCACAGCCTAACTTGTCCAGAGAAGACACCTCCCTAACTACGCAAGGTTGCTTTGCTACATAAAGAGCCTAAAGGCAGGCATTGCTAATTTCAGTTTTTAATTCTGCTGAAAGCAGTAGGAACATGGATTTTAGTTTTATATGATTTACTCTGGTCAAAGATTTACTAGAAATTTCTCTCCTACAGTACAGAAGTTTGTGATGAGAATTTAAAATTTCACTTACAGATAGCTAAGGGGGATTAGCCAAAGCTTCACGGCAAGGGTGATACTTGAACCAGGTCTGTAAAATGGTTAAAATTTAAATAAAGAGGTGGGCCCATCAGGTAGCAGGAACAGCAGGCATGAGGACATATTCATCAGACATCAAGTCATCCTGTTTGGTTGGAGTAAAGGTTGTGTGTAAAGAAAAGGGAGAAGACAGAAAAAGTTAGACGGCGGTCAGGCAGTAGAGGGTAATAAGTGACTCACGAAGGAATATCGACTTTATTCAAAGAGCAAAAATGCTTTGTAACCAGGAAATTACATGGTCAAAGTGGTTGTAGGGCAGAATGAGAACTCCAACGCCAGTTAGAAAGACTTAGGGAAGAAGCACTGTAGGACAGGACAGAAGTAACATTATAGGAAATTTTCTCCAGGAAACTGGTTGAATATAAAGGAAGAAAGAAGAGTGAGAAAATATGACCCTATGTTTCAGCATAAACGGTAATACCTCTGTGGGAGATGTGGAAGATAGGAGGAAGCATAGCTATGATAGTAGAGACGTTACGTTTAGTTTAAGACATTGGTTCTGATGAGACAATAAGATATCCAAATAAGAAATGACCTATCCTTTCACTGAGTGAGCATTTACTGAATGCCAACTATGTGGACACTCTTTCTTGAATACTTAAGACATATCGTAATCACTACAGGGAGGAGTTTTTTTTAATTATTATTCTAAATTGGTCTTTCCTGTTTAAGAGATGATAATAAAGTATCATATTTGAATGTTATTCTATAAAACATTCCCAAAGGTGTCTCCTTCCTCTAAACTTATGAACATTTAACTGTTTGTACCACTCACTGGGGACTTAGCATGTAGGATTACATACATAATTTTCTGCCTAATGTCAAGTTTTCAACCAGATCAGAAGAGGCTTGAGAGCAGGCCTCATTTTATTTCTTCTTTTAATCTTCCATAGTACCTTACCCAAAGTAGGAATTCAGTAATGCTTTCATTGTTAAACTAGGGAAAATTTTTTTCTTCTATCTTCTACGATAAGGATCCATCTTTTCTTAGCCTTGTAGACTAGAAGGATTAGTAACATTTCACATCCGGAACACATGGCTACTGTAAAAGGAACCACAGAAGCTATGTCTGCTTTGGACTGTGAGAAAGAGAGCTGAATAGGCAAGGGCTAAGAAACTATTTAGTATCCCACTTTCAATAGCAACAGTTTTACGCACTGGAAGAGGCAGCATACAAATCCTAGCAAAGGAGTACCCACCCAAACACGAGACCCAAAGAAGGAACTAACAGACCCAACAGAAGCACGTCTAGGCTGTTTTTAAAAACATTAATCCCATTCTGTACGTTAAATGAATCCCTATAGACATTAAACTAAAACTCAGAGGTCTAGTTATTCTCTCTAGGAAGTTTGCTTTCTCAGGTCTTCTAAGCCTGATGACTGTCCCGAGTGATAAGTATGAAAATGAGCGTTGACACAATTTTAGAAACAGGAATATGAAACGTACCTGATAACCCTGACATCCTACTGTATATAGAAGAATTGACAGGCATCATTATCAGGGCCAATAATGCTGACGTGCAAGTCGTTAACATGGCCAAAATGACATCTCCTTCCAGAAGCAGAGCAAAGAGATTGCCCCCACCTCCTCCTGGGCACATGCAGGTCATTACAAATCCAAAAGCCTGTGCCTCAGGCAATGCCAAAATCTGGGTCAAAAGAAATCCACAAAATGGCATAAGAAAAAACTGTGTAACTGCCCCAAGAATTCCTGGCAAAGGTGTCTTCCATATTGTTTGAAGCACATGCAGGTCAATCTTGCAACCAAATGCACATTTATCTAACAGTATCGTTGGCAGAATAAGCGTGAAGAGATTCCTATCAAAATGCACTCATGCCTGGAAAGGATTGTTTTTGATTTGTTTGAGCACCTTGACTTTGACATTCTTAATTTTTCCAATGAGTCGTTCTTCCTACCTTCAGAATCCCACAGTTGAATGGTCAAATTGGTCTCTCCTTCTTCATCTGTCACGAGGTGTGTGGTAAAGTTTGTAACATCCAGTGAGGTCTTGGTCACATTCAGCACTTGCAGCACTTTGGGATCTTCTGATAGCACAAAGACGTAGCTGGAGTTGGGCCGTTTTTCTTTGTAACTTGACCTTACAATGATGGTTTCCTCTTCATTGTTTCAGGCTTTTCTATGTTCAAAACACTGAGAAATGCTTTCTCTGCTTCTCCCGGAGTCACAAACAACAAAAGCAAGACAATACAAAGTTTTCTAATCATTTTGAAAGCTTAAATAAATCGTATATGCAAATCAATTTAACAATACAAAAGAACATTGTCCTCGCAGGTATTCCAGTGGCGTTCTGATGTTGCTTAGTTGGTTAACAATTGTTTTTCTGGATCAGAGTTCAGTAGGAGGGACTATTGTACTTTTTAAAACAAATACAAAGCAATCTAGTGACTGCCACAACCTGTTTAACTTGCAGTTATGAAAATTTTAAAACCCTGGTCGTTGACAGGTCCAACTTACCACAAAAGAAACCTAATCTTTTTCTGCCGACTTCCTCATTTCTGCCAGTGAGAACACAGCCTCCTATTGACCTGAACGTAAAACCTTGGCATCATCATTTTTTAATTCTCTCCCTTCCTAAGAAAAATCTACACTAAAAGCAATCAGGATCCAAAAATCTAAGACAGACAATGAGGAGGCATGTTGAGGTATGTGTTACTCTTTTGTTCATTCACATCGAAATGAAACAGCGGCTGAATATCCGTTTGTCCAGCACTGAGCTAAGGGCAGGGTACACCACAGTGGCCGAGCTGGCTGAGGACTCCACCCTCCTGGAGCTTAGTCCATGCCTTGTTGACATTACTTAGAAAATTGCAGGGCCCGTAAACAATGGGCCTTGGCACCGTCCTTATGCTGCTGAGTAGTTTTTCTGCAATTCTAGAGTACCAGGGAAATGGCTTTTGGTGTCCATCTTGAGTAGAAAAATAATTTGCTGGATGGTTATCAGGTAGCTTGGGAATCTAGGAAAGTAGGCTGCTGGGACTACAGCGTAAGGTACAGTCTGGTTAAGGGGCCTCTGCTGCTAGACACTTGGACGCTCCCACCATAGGGCAAGGGAGAGCCACCGGAACTAATTCTAATCTCTTCTTCGTTTTTTGTAACACTGTTCCCTATTCACAGCTCTGGGCAAGGACATTCAGTTGGCTCAATTTAGTTTATATGCTGGGCCTCAGATGCAGGGATCGGAAGTATCAGGCTTTTTGTCTGTCAGCCCACGGATTCACACAATGGTGTATTTTCCAAACAAGGGAAAGGAGTCCCAAGGCTAAGCAGCAAAAAAAAAAAAAAAAAAAAAGCTACAGCTGTCTACTATTGGGCCTATGGATCCAGCAGTCCTTGAATATATGACCGTTTCAACAGATCGTTCATGTGATCAGAACGCAATCTATGTTATACCTAAGAACTTGTACTATTTTAGATCATTAAATATTTGCTCCTGAAAAACTGTTTTTAGATCAGAAAATATTGGCTCCTGAAAAACTATCAAAGCCATTTTTACTGTTCATCTTGATAAATTTTTAAAAATTGTAGTTTATGCAGATTAATCTTTCCAATGCAATAGACTCTAGGTTTCATCAGTTTTATTTCCATGTATTTCCACTAAGAAAAGCAAGGTACATTGTACCAATGTTGGGAACAAGGGAATGGAATTAATCTGTTTCTCTGATAGTTCAATTAAATTCCCATGGAACTTTCCCAGTTTAAAAAAATAAACATAAAACAAAAACCTTATGAAACCAAAGCTATCTTTACAGTTGTGATCAAATATCTTAATCCATAATTTTTGCTGCCCAAGTCAAAGACGTGAAGTATGTCAGTTTTCCCCCCGATTCCTTTATCTGCAACTTTTTCCCTTCTCAGCTTCTCCAAGCCTTCTCCTTATCGGAATACTGGAGGGAGAAACTGAGAAATCTGAGGGGAAAAAACCTGATAATCGATCTTTCATATGTATTTATAGGCCAATTACATTTAAACTGAAGCTCGTATATGTCATAGTGTTATTTCAACTACGTAAGTAAATTTAAAACTCCTTTTTTCTACTTACAGGTTTTTCACTTATACTTTTGGGTGTCTGCATGCAGGTGGGGAAGGACAACGAGATGCTAAAATTTCATGAAGCATACTCAACTAAAAGCCCTAAAACAAAGCCTGGGAAAGTTGCCTGACCTCAGATTAATGTGGAAATGGGGAGCTGGAGGGACTGACAGTCTCTCTCACCTACAGCCCTGTTCTCTTCAGAGACTGCTCGAGCGGAGCCCCAGCCCTCAGAGCCTTGGAGGACATTAGCACCTACGTCTCTTCCAGGATATTTTGCTCCACTATCTGGGACCCACCCTGACCTACCACAGGTATGCCTATTGATGCCTTTCCCTCCGTGCTGCTCTCTTTTCTGTCAAATCATTAAAAGGAACTCTTCTTCACTCTCTCTAGGTTTCACTCAGTCCCTGTCAACTTTATCTCCTCCCCCTCGACCCCTCTCCCCATAGTTATTTTTTAGCTTTAGTTCCAGTTAGCTTTTGTTCAATTCATGAGAAATGTGCTGACTACCTACTAGTGCAAGGTACTGTGACAGATGTTCAGGTGTAGTTTGTATTAAAACTCTCTGGTGTCTGGAAACATATTTAAGGTTCCTTTCTACCTCTGGATTTATAGTTTCTGATACAAGTGCTATTGTAGCATAGCTTTACTGTCTACCACTCGTCGGCACTTGTGCACTGCTCCGCGTTATAGTTACATGTGTATATACATCTCCTCGTGGTATCCACCATAACAATTAGAAACAAATACTTGCATTAATAGGTACTCTCATAACTACAATAATGTACGAATGTGTTAAGCACCTGGTAACAATTGGAAGTCACCTCCACTCCTCACATGAAGACAATGTGAAGAAAGATTAGAAATAAAATAGAGCAAATGGGCACTCTGAGTCTGTTCTTTCAATTACGCTAAAGCCACTATACATCTCCATGACAATTATAACAGAAAAGGGACGAAGAATAGAAATAATTTCTATGCCTTCTGTATAACAGTACTTTGTTGGACATAGATGAAATACATTGGACAGGAACATTAATTTGAAATTTTTAATAAAATGTCGTTTCTTTTGGCATGTGTTTTGCTTTTGTATCAATAAAGAGACCACAGTTCAGTTGACCTACCTCATTCTTTTTCTCATTCGTATTATATTCATACAAACAAAAAGGTGAACCCCACTGCGGGAGGCTCTTTATCAGTAAAATGCCCTGAAACAGGCAGGTGACACCAAGAAAACCATTTCTCCTTCCTAGGCCTCGGATTCCTCATCCAAAATCTGAGAAGGCTGAACGAGATGAGTTTCGATGATTCAGAGAGACACATCTATTTCTACATCGTGATACAGGCAGACAGCAAGTCTCAACTTCCTGACCCTATGACGTTACATTTGGCCACATGACTTGATTAAAGCAACAGTGATACAGGTATCTTCTAAGTCAACCCATATGTCTACCATCTCCTGCTCCCTCTGCCATAAAAATGGTAATGAACCAGAAAGGGGCTGTTCCTTCGGCCGAGATCCTGAAGTGAAGGCGACACAGAGCAGAGCCACAGCCAACCAACAACTGACATCAATCAAATGAGAAATACACCTTTGCTGTGGTTGCTGCAGCGAGACCTAATAAAAGCTGATTAAATACAAGAATTTGCTGATAACTGAGTATCAGTTTGTCACGTGTTGAATTATGTCCCCCAAAAATGTGTCTATCAGTTTGGCCGGGCCATGATTCCTGGTACCATGTGATCTTCCTGTATGTTGTAAATCCTGCCTCTATGATGTTAATGAGGGAGGATGGGCCGCAGTTGTGTTAGTGAGGCAGGACTCAATCTACAAGACTGGATTGTGTCTTGAGGCAATCTCTTGAGATATAAAAGAGAAAAGTGAGCAGAGAGACAGGGGGACCTCATACCATCAAGAATGCAGTCCCCGGAGCAGAGAGCATCCTTTGGAGCGGGGTCCCTGCGCAGAGAAGCTCCTAGTCCGGGGAACACTGATGAAAAGGCTGACAGAGAAAGAAAGCGTTTCCCTGGAGCTGACGCCCTGAATTTGGACTTGTAGCCTACTTTACTGTGAGGAAGTAAACTTCTCTTTGTTAAAACCACCCACTTGTGGTATTTCTGTTGTAGCAGCACTAGATGACTAAGACATAGTTCATAGTTAAACTTTAAAACACAAAAACTCAAGCTAAATTTAATTTTAAAAAAATGATAATGTAAATTATGACAAATTAAAAAGCAAACTTAAAGATAAAATAAAATATATAGGATTTGTATTTAAAAATCTGACTTAAACATGTGCATAGAATTTTCCTTGTGATTTCTGGCTTGAATCCTTGAATGACTATTCCAAGTAAGAATCAACATTTTTTAAAAACAGTTCTTCATCGTTCAGATATTCCAAGATAATATTTCCACCATTGTGTAATGGACAATCTTCCTTAGCCATCCATGTTCCCAAAATATTATCCAAGGGTAAGGCTTGTCCCGAAGTAATGTGACATAACCTTAATTTCTGTTAAAAAAGAGATAAATCATATTGTAGGAAACAAACATGCTTGTACAGAGTTTCCTGTAACTTTTAGGGTAAAAATTATTAGAAGTAGCCATTACCTTAGCTGTTGATTTGTTATTGTCATTTTTAAGGCTGGCTAAAGAAGCGGCAAAGTCTATGACTTTTCCAATGCTCCATCGGTGGCAAAAAAACATTGGTTTGCTCTTCTCCTTGCTCCCCTTAGGCAAGAACACCTGAAAGTAAATTCTTTCTGTCTGTAAAAGTAAAAAGTTAAAATATGAATTATATGTATGAAATAGACATCTGTTTTCATTTGGTGACACTTCTTCTTCTGGTAAGAGAATCACTTGTCTCTAATGATGAGACTTTGGTGGGAACACCACTTGGGCCTCCAGCTACTGTAATTTGTGCAGACAGGCATGTGACCTAAGGTAGGCCAATTGGGGGCTTCTCCTGGGATTTTAAGTTCAAAGTGCGTGTGTGTGTGTGTGTGTGTGTGTGTGTGTGTGTGTGTGTACGTCCGCACGCGCGCTCGTGCGCACGCTGAATTAGATCTGTAGTTGCCTGTAGGCATCTCCCACTGCCCCCCATCTTCTGTGCACCAATGTGGAAAACACTCCCTTAAATGGGAGAAAATGAGTCCAACACACAGAGAAGGAAGACAATAGATGGAATTTTTTAGACATCATTTGAATTTCTGAACTTGGTCACGCTCCAAGACTAGATCAATCCCTCTCACTCCTCATCACATGAGAAAAAACTTATTTTGATTAAGCTCGTTAGAATCAGGCTTGTGTCGCTCGTAACTGAAAGATTCCCAACTCATGTAACAATTTCCTTTTGTGTGAAAGACCTGACGATGTATTTAGAGACAGTAATACTTTTGTGAACAAAGAAACTCAAACAAAAAAGAAAAAAAGTTACACAACTACCTCATCAACAAAAGAGAGGGATTCAGAGATGGTTCCTCTAGTATTCTATACCTCAGCTGCTTCCTTGTATTGCATTTTCTTGCTAAATCAACAAATGCAGGAAAGAAACAATAGTCGCAAAGGTGTTTTGTCTCTGATCTTCCCTGATTCCTAGAAATTGTTCTAAAAAAACTGTTGGCTTTACTGATAAATTCCTGCTATGATAAAAATTGTGGCATAATTAAATCATCTCTACTTTATGGGGGAGTTCACAATTATTTTAAGAAATAACAGATTCAACACACTTCCTTCCCTTCTCAGCAGTAAGGAACTTAGATTTGTTGAAGAACCAATGAAGTTTTTCACTAAAACAAATTTAAAAAAAAAAACCCCAAGAAGTCATTGCAAGTTTAAGCTCTGGGCCAACTCTATAACCTAACAATACTGCTACAGAAACAAAGTAACGAGAGCATATATATTAAAAGAGAAAAGTAAAAAGATAAAAAAAAAAGAAAGAAAAATATTTTCAAAACAGATAAATGTCTGGTGATCAAAAATGGAACAGAAATTTAAAGTGACAAGCAGGGCTATCTCAAAGAATAGAAGAGGAAAAGTTACTCAGCTAATTTTATGAGTATAATCTTGATACTAATCTCACTAAATAACACTAAACAATAATCAGCAAATCAATTTAATAGAGCATTTTAAAAAAAGTTATATAACACAATCAAGCAGGGTTTATCCCAGGATCATATGGATGGTTCAACCACAGAAAAATTGATTAATGTAATTTCCACATAGATAAGAAAAACAAATATTATGACAAAAGGTAACCCATATAAGAGAAAAAATAAAAGGTAAATCCCTACCTGTGGCCACATACTTAACAATTAAGTCCCAGATGGAAAAAGAAACATGATTATCTCAGTAGATGTGTTAAAAAATAAAATTTAATATCCATTCGTGACATAAATTCGTAATAAACTAGGAATAGAAAGCAGCACTGACCTGATAAAGGCTACTATCTAAACTAACAAATAACGCTCAATGGTAAAATCTTAGAAGGATTTGCATTCAAGTGAGAGACACGATGCAGATACCCGCTGTTACTCGTATTATTCACATCGTGCTGAAGATCTCAGCCGATACACTAGGACCAAATAATAACCATAATAATGACAATAACAAGGAGGAAGGGGAGAAGGAAATTGAAACAAAAAAAGACAGAACTGCCATTTTTCAGAAGACATGAGTAACTACAAAATAATCAGAAAATCCACAAATGATGGAATCTATTAAGAGTTAATTTGCTAGATATAAAGTTAACATACAAAAACCAGTGGTAACTAATTAGGAAAAAGTAATTAAAAAAAAAAAGATATTATTTAGAATAGCAGCAAAAGCTATGGAAAATCTATAAGACAAGTAAGAAACCTAGGAATAAAAGTGAGAACATTCTACAGTGTGTATAAAATATAAACACTAGAAAAACAACACTACAGAACGCTATTTAAGGACATAAAAGGAGACTTAAAGAAAAACTAGGATAGACCATGAAAAAAGATGAGAAGAGTCAATATTCTAAAGATGTCAACTGTCTCTCAATTAATCTAAAACTCAGTACAATTCCCATCAAAACTGCCACGTCACAGAAAAGGACAAAGTGACCCTAAAACTTATTTGAAAGAGTAAATGGCCAAGAATAGGCAGGATAAGGTGGAGAGACTCACCCGACTTATTATAAAGCTATGATAATTATGACTATCTGATACTCCTGCAGAGACAGGCACACAGAAGAACTGAATGGAGGTCCCCAAACCGACTTCACACAGACACGAAAACGTGGTGTACCACAGACGCAGCATTGTAAGTTACAAACCAACAGAGATAGGATAAACTCTTCCATAGCTCATGTTATGACAAGCGGTAACCTATAAAGAAAAAATAAACAAAGGTAAATCCCTACTTCTGGCCACACTTAACAATTAAATTCAAGATGGAATAGAGCTAAATAAACAAAACTTCTAAAAGAAAATTCTGTAAACAACTTATTTCTTAAAAAAAAGTACAAATCTTAAGGAAATCACGAATAAATGTGAGCGAAGTAGATGACAATTTTGAAAGTCTGTACCATTAAAGATCTCAAAACACAAGCCAGACTGGAAGAAGACACTTTGCGACACATTTAAACCAAAAAAAGGTTAGAATTCGGAATACATAAGGATCCTATCAATTTATTTAAAAATGCCAAACAACTCAATAGAAAAACTGGGCAAAGGATATGAACAAAAAGGTCACAGAAGAAAACCAAGCAGCAATAAACAATGCAAAGTAGTTCAGTCTCACTTGTAACAGGAAATTCAGCTTTAAACCACAGTGAGGTATCATTTCATACCTATCAGATTGGTACCAATGAAATGTTGGCAAAAAACCCTGAAACTCCTAGACACTGCAAGAGGGAGATAAATCAGTACAACCACTGACAAAGGGAAGTTGACAATATACAGCAAAGTTGAAAAAGAGCAAACCTCATGACTCAGCTTTTCTCTTCGTAGGTATAATCCCTATAGTAGCAGTTTTCATTTTGAAGGTCTCAATCCATTGGAGATTGTAAAATCAATGCAGTGGGTCCTGACCAGCATTTTAAAAAAATGAATTAAAATAGAATTTAAAAAATCAGAATATATAACACCATACTAAGACTAGGCATTATTTAATGAAATTGTGCTAAGTTATGTATGTATGTGTATATATGTACTTGGTTGTTATATACAACGTAACTGATACTGCAGAGTTTTATAAGGACAGCCCTAGAGAAATTCTCCCATACATACACAAGGATATTCACTGCAGAAGAGTTTACAATAGCAAAAAATTACAGGAAAAAAAAATCTAATTTTGTGGTATATTCACATTATGAAATAATATGAAGCTACCAAAACGGATAATCTAGACTAAACGTATCTGCATAGACAAATGTTAAAACATGACACTAAGCAAAAAAAAAGCAAGCTGAAGGATGCACTTGGTACACTGCCACTTGTGTAAAGTTCAAAAGCTCACAAGATTATGTATTATTTACGCAGACATATACCAGGTAATATCAGGAACAATACATACCAGTTCAGGTGAGTTGTTCCTTGAGGGGAGAGAAGAGTAAACAGAGGGTTTCGACTATATTTAGGGTGTTTTTTTTTTTTTCTAAATCTCTAAGACCAACCTGTGGCAATGACTTATCCCCATCAGCATGCATCTTCAACTTCATCAACGCCACCTTTGCAGCTGTTTCTGTATTTTTTGCGCCTTTTCGTCGTTTACTCACTGTCTCTCCTGTCTTGGAGCCTAAGGCATAAGCATAAGCATATAAGCACATAAGAATTTTATCATAAAACACTCACTAATTACACCCTGAGACTTCCACAAGTTACACAACTGAGATAAAGAAATCATATTCATTTTACAGGCACTGAATTTATATGAACGATGAAAAAATACCCTCCAGGTTCATCTAAGCAATTCCCTTATCACAAAACTCACTGTTATATGTTTCTTTCCATCTGAAGCCTATTTAATCCAAAGCAACCATTAACATTTCTGTGGAGAACTTTAAGATTTGGTTATGGAAGATTTTAATACAAGGTTTATCCTTAATACGGAATGAAATTCTGTTGACCTAACGTGTTGGCAGAGGCTGGTCTGAGTCACCTACTTGCTCTTTCCCAGTACCTCGTATTAGCAGCGACATTCACAGGACAGTTGACCAGGATTAGAGTTTAGTCTTCAGAGAACGCAAAGCACTACTTTACCACGTGAATACCACTTCTAGCCCTGATGATGAACAAGGTGATCTAAGCAGCCGGCAAATGAGAATCTGGTGGGGTACTTCCACACAATTTCTCAATTTTCACTGGTCAAGTAAGCCTTGTGAGAAACACTGTCACAGAATGTCACCAAAATCCATGCAAGTTATTAACACAGAAGTTGTTAACAACAATTTCCATAACAGGTAAGCAGACACAAGAAGCAGGCTCTGGAACTAAAAGAGTATAAACAATAAGGAAGTAATAAAACAAGCTTTCTAGATACTTGCCAATAACGTCTTTACCAAGTCTCTGTGTGGCAGCCATACGAGGCTTAGAGATTTCCAGTTTTCCACATTCATGATCTGATTGATGACGGTGTCTATGAACAGAATAGTAACACCAGTTGATGTGCCTGCAACTTAAACGGATATACAGGGCTTGAATGCTCTAAGTCATCACCTCAGGCAAAAATTCTTCTCACAATAAGGACATATAACTGGCACAAGCTCTTTTTCGGTACAGTCCTTGAATGAGCATGGGTAAGATGTATGTTTGTCTGTCTTCATTCTCTCATTGATTATATTCACCTGCAAATGTGGAGGGAAATGGCATTACATTGCATATTCACACCAAATCAATAAATCTATTTGGGTAGGCAGCATTCATATTACCTCGTTATTAAAGCAAGTAACACACTCTCAGGTAATAGATTGGGTTTATGTAAGAAATGATTACTGTGCCGAATGTTCTAAATTCTCACAACCTCTCTACTGCACTGTATTTATCCCCTAAACCAAAAAAAAACAAACAAACCCGCTGCCATCGAGTTGATTCCACTGCACCCCAGATCTCGACATGAATACAAACATATTTTATTAGATAGCAGAAATAAACTGACCTCAGAACAGCCATGTGACTCCCTGCTTCTGTGTTCAAGGCTTAAATAATTAACAAAAAAAAAAATTATTTAAATGCAATCAAATAATGTACTTAAACAAAGATGGCTACAGGAATTTTACATATTTTAATGTCCCAAAGGAATTTAAAACACAACTGTGCAACTTCAATACGAGTAAAAATAATTCATCACTCTAAGTTACCTTTCCTTTGACTACTTTAAGGTGCTCGAAAATACAAAGAACCTTTTGATTCCTTTTATTTCTCAAAGATCATCAGTAATAAAATGTCAGAGTGCTCTAGCTACAAAAGATTTATAACTATGTATTACTTTTATTTACTTGAAAAATCTTCCTGAATTAGCTTCTGAAAAGAATTCATTTTTTCAGGACTCTACTTAATAAACTAAATGCTTAATGAAATATGAAAAATTTAAATATGAAAACTTAATTACAAAGAAAATTCATTTTCCAAAATCCTTGGTTAGTGCTCAGATTTTACTTTGTATCTTATGTGTGCAAATGACATGTGACACCCAATTTAAAGAATTCACAGGTTGGGCACTTTTCATTTTATTAATTAAAATAAAAGTAATAATCACAACAATTTTTTATCATATTCTTTATATTGTGGATACTACTTACTTTTGTAATTAAAAGACACAAATATAACTTTTACATAAAATTGATGCATACAACCCCATTCCTGGAAGTTGAAGATTAGCCACAAATATGCACTAGTACTCAGAACCTATGACAAGTCTATGCTTCCACAAATATGCGCTAGTA